TCAAAATGGAAAAAAATCGTGCAAAATAAAACATTACTATTGTACATTTCAAAAGTCAAAATGAAAATGTTAATATATCACATTTTTACGCGATTTTTTTGAATATTATCCTTTTCGGAAAAGAGACAATTCCGAATTTGTATGAATCGTTAAAATCAGATCAGCGGATCTTGAGTTATAAGCGTAGTAACTAACACAACTTACATTTATATATATAGATATCCAACTTAATTTATGGAAATAAATATTTCTTGTTAACCGTTCTGTTGGGAAAAAATCCGAATAGAATAAATTGATATAGAGTGGTTGAGGCGAAACATCCATCTTTTGAAATGAACACAAAAGAGCGGTTATATTCCATCAGTATGTCAACATCATATCTATTGTACATGTGAACGTGTGTGTGTGTATTTATATTTATTTCCAATTCCGGATTATTTGTTGATTGTTTGTATTTCAGATGCGTGAAATACGTATTTGACGATAGGCAAATATTTTCTTGTGTTCGTACCCAATATCAATATTTGGACGTAGAGCAATTTGTATAACAATATTTACCGTTATTTGTCATCATAGCCATCAATATACATATAGATATTCACATATGCATATCTACATACATATATTTTTTTGTTGCCAAAATCGTTGAACCGTTAGCGACACTGGCGTGTATGCTGTGTATATGTAAATATTTCCGACTCTTTCAAACAAAAAACAAATTTTATGAAATTTTATAATACATTGCCAATCATCCATCATAATGTGGGCGTGCGAATCTATTACCAAAGTTACGTGCCAACGTGCAGAATTATTATTTATATATGGGGTGTGATGTATGCTATAAATATTTCAATTTCAATGGGGATAATAAATGTGAGAATGGAATAATTTAAATGTTCAATAAAACAATAAAAATGAATATAGGTTTTTTTTGAGGAACATATATTGTTACTCTGATGTATCAAAAAGGGGAACATCTTACGCATTTAAAGTGTTAATATTTTAGACCAACTTGCATCATTATATTTCGAAAAGTTCATATTTCTTTTGTCGAACCTTTGAATTTCTATTAGGAATTCGAAATACTCTCAATTAAATCTTAATTTACTTATTTAACTGAGAGTTGGTATTTCGAATTCTGTAAAACTTGTAAGATAATATTAGGAACAAGTTCGGTCGTCTACACCTGAGTTATAACATTCAAAGTACCTTTTTTATACCCTCCACCATAGTATGGAGGGTATATTAAGTCTGTCATTCCGTTTGTAACACCTCGAAATATACATTTTAGACGCCACAAAGTATATATATATTCTTGTTCGGCATATAATTCTATGTCGATTTAACAATGTCCGTCCGTCTGTCCGACTGTGGAAATCACTCTAGCTTCCGAACGAAATGAAGTAAGTTGATCAAAATTTACTCAAATGTGTACAATGTCTGCAGGACTTTTGGTATTGGCCACGTAGGTGGACATCTTCGTATAGCCTCCATATAACGGTACCTCCCCATACTCGGCATTTTGATGATTTTAGCGACATTATTCATCGGAATTGTTTCAAATTTGGTATTTGAAGTTCATAATGGATACTACAGACTAAGACATAAAATGGGTCATGTAGGTCCACGTCTTCTTATAGCCCCCATATAACATTATTCATCGGAATTGTTTCAAATTTGGTATTTGAAGTTCATAATGGATACTACAGACTAAGACAGAAAATGGGTCATGTAGGTCCACGTCTTCTTAAAGCCCCCATTTAACGGTACCTCCCCATATTCGGTATTTTGATGATTTTAGCAACATTATTCATCGGAATTGTTTTAAATTTGGTATTTGAAGTTCGTAATACTACAGCCTAAGACAAAAAATTGTATGTGCAGGTCCACGTCTTCGTGGCCCCCATATAAAGGTACCTCCCGATATTCGGTGTTTTGATGATTTTAGCTACATTATTCATCGGAATTGTTTTAAATTTGGTATTTGAAATTCGTAATGGATACTACAGCCAAAGGCAGAAAATTGTATGTGCAGGTCCACGTCTTCGTGGCCCCCATATAAGGGTACCTCCCGATATTCGGTGTTTTGATGATTTTTGCTACACAAATCACCGATTTTTTTTAAGTTTCGCATTTGAATATTGTAATGGCTTAGAACCTATGTAGGTCCATGTCGCCGTAAAGGCCCTGATTTAACAGCTACATTCTTTATTTTTATGATTTTAACAGAATTTTTAACAGATTTTATTTTTTGAAAATTTCCAAATTCGTTCCAAATGATGGAGGGTATTCAAAGTTCGGCCCGGCCGAACTTACTGCTTTTTAACTTGTTTTCAATAAAAATGCATACATCGTATTAAATTTTCAGACATTCACGTTTTTGTATTTTATTCAATTTTTTTCCTTTTTCGGCGAAAATAACAGAAAAATGTTTACTTTTACAACGAAAAGTCTTGAAATTGAAATTTGAGAATTCCCGACCTATCCCTTCACCCAATTTAGTATTATTGAACGCATTTCTAAACCACCGCCAAATCTGAAACACAGATAGCACCAGTAATCTAAACATCAAATTTCAGGATTTCAGCTCCATTTCTTCACCCAACACCAAATGTGTACCACTTAGTAATTTTCGTACAAATATAGGGCGTATTACAAAATCACCACCAAATCTTAAACTATTAGTAATCTATATATCAACTTTCAGAATTGTATCTCTATCCCTTTACCCAATACTACAGTACTTTTCGTACAATTGTAGTTCACAGTTCCGAAACCACCTCCATATGTCAAGACGACAAATGAACAGCGACCTCAATATAAAATTTCACATTCTAAGCACTATACCAAATTGTACCAAATATATTACTATTTAGTACTTTTCGTGCACTTGTAGTAGACATTTCCAAAAATTCTTCTAAACCGAGAAAAATTCTTAATATATTGCTATGTAAAAATAAGTAAGTAATGGACGCACTCGGGCAATTCCGATAACCTACAACACTATAATTTGCGGTAAACTCTCTACAATTAAAAAAAAAAAAAATAAAAATAATAATTCGGTCCATTTGATTCTTGAAATACTGTCATATAATCAAGTAAAGTTGTTATCTTCGATTTTTACCGGAGCCAAGAGACAATTTTCCTTTATTTTTGTCCCGCGCCGATCTAATGCGAATTCAAAAACAAGTAAGCAAAGGCTATAGTCGGGCGGGCCGACCATGTGATACCCTACAACACTACAATATGTTAGAAGCCCCTTTATGTCCAAATTCATTTTGGAAGATTTCGCTTTTGAAATTATGTTACGGAGCACTGCCCAGATATTACCATTAGCGTTTTGACCAGGGACATTTGCCCAATATTTACACACTCCATCGTGCTGTAAGTTGTTGTGGTCCATTTTATAGCTAAATATAATCCAATGGTCATCCAAAATGCCAGAATTCTTCCCTGTCCTTGGTCCATTTCAACACCTAAATATTTTGCGGACATCTTTGAAAACAATAGGCGTAGCCTATAATTGCAGACTGTATATAACAACCCCAGCCTGGGTTGTAAAGTGAAAACTATTACAAAATGTACACTTCAATATTAAGTCAAATTGAAAAAATCGCATTCGATAAAAAATATGAAAATATAAAAATATGTCACAAAATTCTACAAAATCAATATTAACATCAATTTGGCATCTTTTTTTTGCGATTTTTTGATTGATTTTATACTTTTATGCCAAGAGGGCATTCTGAATTGACAAAATTTGTCAAAATCGGTCCAGCTATTCCTGAGATATAAGCATTCTAACTGACATCCCCTTCCTTTGTATATAAACATTGTACATATTTCGGTATATATATCCGATATATTTACTATCGGCATCTACGTAACGGTCGGAATTGACCTGTTCGTCTATTTGTGATTTTGCCGGTATTAAAAATATTCGCGGTTTAATGGAAAATTTACTTTTATTTAATACAAATGTTATGGTCTATTTCACCCACTAAATATTACCCGATGACCAATCAAATTGGAAGACTTCTGACAGACAGACGGAAGGACGGACATACATGGCTAAATCGAGTCGGCTCAGCGATATAGGAAGATCCATATATACTTTCCTATATGGGAAACCAATATTTCGACGTGTTACATAATTTTTAATTTTTTTGAATTTTAATTTTGGTATTTTTCACCCGATAAAAACTATCCGATGACCCTCCCTAATATAAGGTTTCTACCCTATCCTAAACTCAATCTACTTAATATTATCTTGCAATTAATAATATCCTATAATAATTGTAAAAACTGAAAATTGTTGTCGATATACTTGATTCTCTCTCCCTGGTACTGTTTATAAAATGAGTATTTTTTATTACAAATTAATCCAACGTAACAGATGTGCTTATATCGTATGTTTTTCACCAGAAATACTATCAATAGCTTTTGAGTGGTTTTGTTATCCTCGGTTGTAAAAAATGATATTTTAAGTACATTTACAATAACAAAAAACAATGGTTAGTACGCGAAAACAATATTTTTATTTAGCGCAATAATCCAAAATATGATTATAAAAAATATTGTAATCTTTACAGTCATAAAGAGGATCAACAATTGAAGTAAGCTGATTTCAGAGGTATTAATCAAAATCAGCATTAAATCAACAATTCTTGCATCAGAAACACACAATAAATATAATTTACATATTGAGATAATGTTTATATTTATAAAATCCGAAATAAGCATCAGATTCTCTTTATATTTCACATATCCCATTATTTCTACTAACACAAGACTTGTTGTGGTTGCTTCTGGTTCCTCCCCACACAGATTCAAAATTTTGAATATCCTGAAGCTCATAGAAATCGAAATTAACATCCGATTCGATTCCAGACTTAGTACATCTCAATATTTTCATTAACACAAGTTCTGTTATAAAGATGGTAAAGATCGGACCATTTCTTTTGCTACCTGACCCATACAGGGTTCAAGAAACGAAATAACCCAACATACCAAAAATACAATACAGCTTGAGAATAATATTATGAAAATAGTTTATCGTAAGAATTCCTCAACAATGCTAGAGAAAAACTTTTTTGCACAAACTTTTCTCAAATCTGTCCTTTGTTGACAAATTTGTTTTGATTTTTTTTTTTTTTTTTTTTTTTTTGAAAATTGTCGACAAAAAAAATATTTTCTTTGGTTAAAATCAAAATCACGCGAATTTAAGACTCATTTCTGGACGAAACTCTAAGGTAATGATGAATAATAAATCTGGGAATCTGTAGTGTATATTATTTCAATCTCATTTCAGAATAGAGGCGTCAAAAAGTTGCAAGAATTCAAGAGAAGTGAAGAATTAGTGGAGGAGATGCGGAAGCTCAAATAAGGGGAAAGAAATCATCTAGGTATCAATGCAACAGGAGGCAGCGACAGCTGGGATGGCGATCAATGAATGAAATGTGTAAAATAATTAAAAAATAAATATTTTATACCATTGAAAAAATAAGCTTGATATAATATTACTTTCGTAAGCTTATTCTGCAATTACAAGAATAAGCTTATGAATAAGGGTTCCCTTTCGATTATTCTATAATTGTTAAACAAGCATTTCTCAATACATTCTCAAGATTTTCTCAAGCTTAAGGCTTATTTTTGAAAGCTTATTAAAATATTATTCTCAAGTCAATTTGGTATGTTGGGAAGCATCAAACTCTCTTCAAATTTCACACATAGGGTTGCCCACATTCGACGGACCTTTGGGCCCATTCCAATCGACGAGGCTTGTTCGCAGGCAACATTCTTTGCGTCAATTGAATTTTGTACGGGAACAAATGCAAATCAATGCGAATAATCCGTTTTAAAGTGGACCGAGCCATGCCCAACTGCTGAGAACGGCGTTTTTGGGATGTTCTTGGGACTTCTCAACACTGGCTCGTACGGCAGCGATATTCTCGGCCGATCGCCTTGGTCGACTTTTATATGGCCTCTTCCGATTAGAAAGAGCCTTACCAGTCGAAAATGTTTCGTATAAACGCTTCATGGTGTTCTTAGAAGGCGCATTTCTCACATTTTTTAATGTTTTAAAAGCACGTTGAGTTTTCACAATTGACTTCTTCTGTTGAATGTAAATTTTACCTATTTCAGAGCGCTCGCGTGGCGTGTATTGGTTCATGGTAAAAATGTGCTTGGACTGACGTTTCAAACGCGGTATGTCATTAAGCGATGTGACATCTCTGTCAAAAGTTATGGCATTGCCAGATGGGTTCGTCGAATATGGGCAACCCTGTACAAACATTTTTGGTAATACAAGATGTGTTGTGAAAGTGATATATATCTGCGAAACTCTTCTGGCAGCTCACCCACAAAGGATAATAACTTCAATACTTTTATCTGTCATAACTTGCGATACAAGTCAGCGATTATATCTAAATATATATTTCTCTCAACCAGAAACCTGAGATGAATACGGAATTTATGATTTCGTATAAAATATGATATAAATGTTCAATTTTCTTGTAATTTTACTCATACCAATATTTTTTATATGCATTAAAGTAAAGGATTGCTGCGGTTGGTTCCTCAGGCACATTATAATATTTTCTTAGAATTATTACATATCTCATATTAAATGAAGAATGTAACCAATATAGTCCAAACCTGGCAAATAGCAATATTTATATCGTATTTAATTAGAGGATCAACAATTTGAATAATCATAATAGAAGTCTAAACATACTAAAATAATCGAACATTGGTATATATCGGTAGAACCGATTGATATTTATTAACTTGTTTTATTTACTAGTTCGGCCCCTAAAATTGTTTCGAAATGTATTTCCGTTATTAATATTAAAATCACAAGCTAGCAAGATGTTCACTCTCCTTTTTCTTTACTTTTAATATGCACATTGTGAGATAGAGAAGACTATATTCTAGTCGCACTTTGTTCAAATTATCCAAAATTCAGCCTTAAAGGATGATCGTGAAATGGTTAGGTGCATAACTGCAACGACGATCGTAAAATAGTTAGGTGCGTAACTTGCAATGAAAAAAGGGAAATATAAAGGGGCTATATCTAAATATGGACAGAAAATAAAAAAAAAATGAAAAATGAAAAAAAAAAAAAATAATAATATTTTAGTCTTTTTACACGAAATTGTGGTTCATTTTGCTAGGCTTTAACGTTGTCCTAAACTATAAACTCATAAAAAATTTCATGACTATTGGTAGGGTCACATTTGTTATCTTGCTTAAGCCATTTCTCAAACAACCCTGAAACCCTGAACCCTGAAAGATATAAGACCCCTTTCCTTCCAACTAATTTTCTTCTGCCTGAAAAAAATTGTGGGTTTGAAAGTTAATTATCCCAATTTATTTCATTGTGCTTTGCGATTTCATTCATTACCATGGATTAATCAAAACTAAATTTGTTGGACTTATTTCATAATTATCCTTTTCATTTGTTGAATAAACCACAATTAGAATTTAATGAAAGGATTCAGGCAGACAGTGATAGTAAATGAATTTAATTTGAATTGAATTAAAACATTCTTAAAGTATTGCGTGCAGATAACTTATTGTGATATTGTTATTATCATAAATTTTGTGAACACTTTAAAATATTGCAAAATATCTTACTAATGAAGCTCAACAGCTGAATATAATCTATCAAAATACATCAAATCACGTTGATGTCGTTGCTATGTTTTAAATAATTAAAATATAATTAAATCTTGAGGATTGAGAACAATCAAATTAGAAACATGTATTTGGCGATAAATATTTGCGTTAAAAGAGGGGGAAGACAATTTTGTGTTAGACGAGAAAAAGGTAAAAGGGACCCAGTCAAGTGTTTCAATGGATAGGAGCTGGAATATAATATTAACCTGTGAGGAAAGTCTGTTAGGTGAATTATACCCAACATCATTTTTTTCGTAACATAATTTTTACATTTTTTTTAATTCTATTGAATGAAAGCAAAAAAATGTCGGAAATAGCATCAAATTTTAGAAAATGTTTAGATTTGATCGAATTGGTCACTTTTGGCGCGAATTATGGCCTTCAAACGGTCAATGAAAAAGTCACACTCTGCCTTATTTTCAAAAATACTCCTGACACAATAGTCCGGAGATTTTGGTGGCCATTGTTCGCTGGAAATAAAGCGAGGAACCTCATTTTGTAACCATTCTTGGGTGGCTCGTGCTGAGTGCGATGGTGCTGAGTCCTGTTGGAATGTCCAAGGTCTGCGGCCAAAATGTTTGCGTGCCCAAGGCTTCAATACACCCTCCAGAATATTTTCTATTTTCTTTCTATTGCGGTGTATGTTCTTGCACTTTTTGGAATTTTAATGGCTTTACCCCGAGCACATTTTTCAATATTTTCCGAATGGAATATTGCGATATGTTCAGCTCACGAGCCATTTTTCGGCCACTGCGTCGCGGGTTTCGATCAAGTGGCTTTTTTACTTTTCAAACCATTTCTGCTGCTGTTGCTGTTTTCTTCCGTCTACTCCATTGGCGTCGGGCTACGCTACCAGTATCACGGTAACGAGCGATGGTACGAGACACAAAAGATTTATTCACATTTCAATGCTGGAGTGCTCTAACGATAGCCACTTGTGATTTTCCAGCCAAAATGCTTTTGCACGCTTGTAAACGATATAATGAGCTGTCGCTGGAATAATTTTAACAGAGTTCGGACGAGTGGCTTACAAATTACAGCAATCTGAAATCGGTTGCAGTTTTTTAATCTCACCCTGTATTTTTGCTTTGGCAAGAGTAGGCCATGAAATCGTTTGAAACATATATATTGAAGCCATAATCAGATGTATCATGTGTATGTAGCCTATCATAGCCAGGGTTTTTGGAAATTCGTATTAAAAGCGTAAGAAAGGGAATTCTGAAATTTCAGTGTCGGATGGAGTGCAGATAGATGTCAATGATAGAGTGCAGGAGAGATGTAGCAAAGGGTTTTTGGGAATTCAAACTTTGAGGTAACGAAAAGTTCTAAATGGTACTAAACTCTTAAAATGGTACCATTTGATATTATGTGAACGGATAGAGCTAAAAATGAAATTTGGTATGAGAATCAAGGTTGGAAGTTTGAATATATAGGTGGTTATGGAAATGTGTACTAGGAGTACGAACTGTACTAAATGGTACGAAATTTAGAAGAGTTTGGCTTAGGGTGAACGGATGAAGTTGGAATTTTAAAACTTTGTTTTGGGGTCCCTTTTGGGCGTAGGTTTGTGATAAAGAGGTGGTCTTGGAAATGTGTTCTAAAGTATTAATAGTACTATATTTAGTACAATTTGGTATTATGTGAACAGATAGAGCTTGAAATCTGAAATTTGCGACCCTAAGTTCCTGTATAGCCTGGAGATATGGAACTGGTTTTGGTAATGTGTACTATAATTGTACGGAAGTACGAATTGAATGCTACTGTATTTGGTATTGGGTGGCATAATATTCTGAAATTTGATAATTATATTACTGATGGCATTTTTGTCTAAGATTTGGCGGTGGTGTTGAAATGAGTGATATATTTGTACTAAAAGCAATAGTTAGTATTAAATTATGTATTGGGTAAAGGAACTGAACTGGAATCCCGAAAATTATATAAATATTAATTTATATATGTAATTGAGATATTGAGTTGGTTTTGCAAATGTGTACTATAATTGTACAGAAAGTACTAAATAGTACTCACTTTGGTATTGATTCGAAAAGTTCTAGATAGTAATAATGAAGGGGTAGATGTGGAATACTCAAATTTGAAATTTAGGTCTGTGTTGGTATTTGAAATTGAGATATGAAGGTGGTTTTGAAAATGCATGCTGTATTTGTACGAACAATACTTCGTGGTACTAAATTGCATATTGGACGAAAGGATATAGCTGGAATAACGAAATTTGATAATGAGGCATCTATTGGTATGTGGTGTTTAGATCTGAGAGAGGTTTTAAAAATATATATAATAATTGTAAGAAAAATACTAAATAGTACTAAATTTGGTACTGGAATAGAACTGAAATCCTAATAATTGATATTAATGTCAATGTTGGTGCCTGTGGTTGAAAGAAGGAGCTGGTTTTTAATAGGCGTACTATTGTACTAAATGGTACTAATTTGGTAAAGGGGGAAATTAAGGAGCTGAAATCCAGAAAAAATAGGATGAGAGTCCGTTGTGCAATGCTTTTACTAATGTCCTCCACGGTAAACTTCAAAATGAAAGATTTTGACGACTTTTTGGTGTAAAAGGTAATCATTTACCAATTATTTTGTCCAAAAAAGAAACAGACTTAAAAAACATATAAGACCTTGAAAGTCTAGAAATTTAGTACGAGGTATGAAGTTAAATTTTGAAAAAAATTTTGTCCAACTGAACAAATTGTGCATTTTGAGTACAAGAAAAGCCGAACACGAACTGTTGGAACGCGTTTAAAATTTTAAGATGAACTTTGACGCAGTCGCGACCACTTATCTAATGTACGGCAATAAAAATTGTGTATTAGGATCACTTTAATAAGATTTGTTTCGGCTTTACAAAGTAGCCCAAAGTATACAAACTAATAAACTGTTAGGCTCAAACAATTCCATTTTTATAACATGTCATATATTGCCTGGAAAAGAAATAGC